GGAGCCTGCCCGTCGGGCCCGCTTCGGGGTGGGACGAGGCCGAGGTGTCAGCCCACCATTAAAAGGGGCAGACCCTCTACATTACAGGGTAACCCGAGGTGTTCAGGTGCCCCCCCGCTGGGTGAGCTGCCGGGGGAACTGAAGCACCTGGGAGAGACGGGGCCTCGGGATTCACAGCCGCCTTCGAGGCCGCAAAGACCCCATCGTGCTCCGGCCAGAGACTGCACCAGAATACAACAAACTCTGTTGCTCTCTATTTTTTTGACAAGCACACAAATGAATTCCAAAGTAAAGTTCAAATTTGAAACTAATTCCGTGTTTTTTCACATTAAGCGAGGCCTTATTATTCTTAAAAATACTTATTGAATTTTTAATTAAATATTTTTGCTGTCCTTGGCTTTTGTACAAAAACATGACATTACAATGTCAACATAATTCTTTAAGCTGCTCTGCAATATCTGCTGTTCCTATTGGCATGCCTCATTACTCATTCTTTCTAATTCTGTGTCGTTCCTACTCATCTGCATACTGCTCCGTAATCATGCTGCATGTTCCTGAAAATAAACAAAAGTTAACATTTTAAATGCTTACTTGTCATCAAAGATTATATTACTGTACTCAGCATAGCTGAGAAATACTCTCAAGTTTTCTTGTGTTTCTGGCTTTCTGAAAAAAAAATTAAGCTGAAAATTAATACATTTGTTCCCAGAATAAACATTTCATAGTTAGTGATGAAATTCAGTGAACTTTTGTTTGGCTACTATTTCTTCTAGTTTAAAAAAAAAAAAAAAAAGTAAGAAGACCTACATAGTCTCTCTGTAGATCTGCCCTCCTCACTAGCACTTTGCTAATTCCAGCCACATTCAACAAGGAGACTGAGATCTCAAAAGTATAAATTCCTAAAGGCTTCACGAAGACCACTCAATGGACAGCAAGTGGAAAATGAAACCAGTATCTCCTTGACTTCCTGACTTTCACACTACCCATCTAGCCCAAGACCTGCCAGTAGCTGGGAAATGCAGGTGGAGCCAAGTGGCCATAACCGGACCACAGGGAGATTTAAGGAAGGAGGACAGCAGCATGGAGGATGCCCGGCCATGACAGTTCTGCTGCTGATAGCTTGTGTAAGCTGGCATAGAAAACATTGGTTCATGATTTTAGCAAGTACCAATTTTACTCCTTTGAAAACTAATTCAAAATGGCATGACTTGACATGTGTTAAAAACACAAAGACCTTTGCCTAGCCAAAACGTAACTGAACTGAAGCAATCAATGTATACTTATTTTGTGTACTCAAGTTTTTATCTCAAAGAAAAACAATGAAGTTCCTAGAACGTAAAACTAATGTCTTCTGGGCTTTGGATACATGGTTTTCAGAACAACTTCACCATCACTCCTATTCGGAAGTACTTATCAGTTATTTTAATATTCTATGACCTCCCAAGATGTGTATTTGTACCTTAAATTGTCTTAAGCACTACCAGACTATTGGAGACAAAAGCCGTTATGGGTAGACAAATGGATTCAGCAGAATTAAAAGTTCAGTTGAACTGTTCACGAGGCACTACTGCAGGGGTTTGAGAGCTAATCACAGCTGTGATAATAACAATTACAGAGCCCTTAAGTTCCATTGGTGAACAAAACAAGGGGTCTGTGGTAATGAAATCTGAATTACGTTATTGCCATCTATATATTAGTGACAAAGCCACACAGCTCTGCATTAGTTATTTGATTAAGGTATGCCCACAGCCATATTGCCCATTGTTTGTGACGACCAGATGCACTGGTGAGTCCAAACTGCCAGCACCTTAATAGATGAAAAGTGGAGACAAAGAATCATTTGCAAGAAGAAAGGGGATTATAGAGCATTAAATTCTGAGAAGTGTAGGTCAAGGGAAGAAAATGTGATTTTTTTAAAAAAAACAAAATTTCATTGTGTGGTAGCACAGTAATTTTTAGGCCCAATACTTGCAGCCTCCAAGAGATAGTGATTCTCCTTGCTCTTCTGCATCTTAGATGGGAAGGAGCAAAGATACCCTAAACTGAGAAACATCAAAACCCTCTAACCAGTAACACAGTGAAAGGTGGTGAGCTCCTCTGGGGAATGAAAAGTAGGGCTTGTATGAGCAGCAGGAGAGGCCCAAGCAGAGCAAATACGCACTCACCAGTGTATGTATTCTTTCTTCTAAGTCCAACAGCAGTAGGAGCAGACTGGACTTGTCATGTTGGGGAGCTGCAATGTCGATCCCTCCATCTTTTTAGTCTCTGCTTCTACTGAGCATGCTCCTCTGCTGCCCCACGTGAGGAGCTGAAAGCTGCTACTGGCTGTGGAGAGGAGGTGGGTTTACTGCGGGGGAGGAGCAGGATGGTATAAAAGAGTTGCAGAATAAACAAGGGCAAGTTCCTGGCCATTACTGTGAGCCACAGTGTGGTGGAATATGAGGGAGATCTGAATGCGAGTTCCCTCTTGCAGAAAATGAAGGAATCGCATGCTTCTGAAATGCAGTGTCCTAGCCTGAGCTTTTGGCGTGGGATGAAAACAGAGGCATAGTTCACATTTGTTAAGTATTAGATTGGTTTAATGCATTACTTGCTTACCAGAGCAACCAGAAAGTACGTTTCTTTTGTAATGGACTATGGTACGTTGCCACTATCACAGAATCACAGAATGGTAGGGGTTGGAAGGGACCTCTGTGGGTCATCTAGTCCAACCCCCCTGCCAAAGCAGGGTCACCTACAGCAGGCTGTTTGATGTCGTGGTTTAACATTCAAAAAACATGATGTGTTCAAATGATAGCTTTAATTTAATAACTTTATTCATGTTCTGTAGAGCTCTAGCTAATAGTTTGCATAGTGTAATTATAACCAGTAATTATATTAAAATTATGCTACAATTAAAATTATAATTTGAGTTATTGCTAGTAGTTTGTGCAGTTAATTTAGGTGGTCTTGCACAGTGCAAATCTGCACAGATGCAAATTTGCATCTTCTGATGCAAATACTACCAATATTGCTAAAATGCTTAAAGAAGGTATCTGCATGAATCAGAAAGTAAATGCTAATAAAATAGATATTACAAAAACATGATTCGCCAAAACTAGATGAAATTATATCCTTTAGTAGTAGAAATACCTATTAACATAATTTTCCTGTTGCAAATGTCTTTTAAGCCCAAACTACAACATATATTCATAGCATATGTTATTCATAATGAGGTTCTTCCATTCATTTTGTTTCAAATTGTACATAAATTGATTTCTTTACTTGCTTTACTAAATACAGGCTATATAGTAAATTGATGTTTAGAGCAGAACTATACCAAATATTTTCCACCTTTAGAACTGTTCTAAAATAGGTCTTTTAGAAACTTTCAATATAACTCTATAAAATATTTTTACCTAATTAACTCCTCAATAAGTACCTAACCGGAAAACATTCTGATCCTTGAACTTATCAGTACAACAAGAATAGTTCTATAAGCTTTATTTTCTAACTGTAATTCTCTTAACATATTTTATATATGTTTATGCGCACCAAGTCAGAGATCACAAATACAAAACTGATTTTTAAATCTCCTTCAAGAGACAAAAGGCTTCTTACTATTTGTATGTTAGGAAACGTTACCTGGAAGAACTTTATGTTAAAAAGTGCTATAAAGGCGTGCTTTTAACAGCATAGAAATAATGAGCTAATATATAAAGATTTTATACACCCATACTGTTCACACATATTGCATGTTATTTTCCTCTGCTATCAAGTGTATCTGTTGATGAGATAAATGAACCCAGAGTATCAAGGCTGTAACAGACTAGTCAGCAAAATACTAAACAGCTGAAGTTTGAATTTTGAAGTATAAGAGCATGACCTGAGGCTTTAACTTTTTACTTGTCTTTAAAATAATTTTGTTACCATTAAGTTCAATTATCATTCAAGTCTTACATTTTTAACTAAAAAGAGAGTATTTTGAAAGGTGAAGTATCAGAAAGGCTTCAATTTTAAACGCATTTTGTATTTTCTTTCCCGTTGGTAATTTTTAGAGGTATGCCGGCAAGATCTGTTAGTTCCCAGAGGAGTTAAACGCAGCTTCACTGTCTGTGGCAGTTGAGCTAGCTGAG